CTTTGTCAAGATTGATAAAACAACTTATCTATCAATCTTGGTGGTTTGGTACAAACACAGGGTTGCATATCTCATATTTAAATAGCCAATATTGGCAATTTAAGTGCAGATTAAATGTATGATTTGGAAATGAATTTTTGAAGTTAATTAGCAATCTCTACTTAAATAGGGCATCTGAAATTGGGCCTAAGTGCCCTGATTCTGCAAAAATAAATTTAACTACATACATACATATGTAATTCTCCTACGCGTACTTGTGATTTGAAAATACATTTACATATACATACATACCTTTTTAAAACCCCATATTGAGAAACTGGATATTGAGCCGGCTCATTGGCTTTGAATATTCAAAATAAATGGAGCGTTTTCGTGGTTTTCGAGTGAAATAACTGTCGCTTTTAAGCATGTTTTTTATATTTTTTAAAACTAGCAAACAATTTAACCACTTCGCAGAAAGTTGTTGCGTTTAGTACACAATTTAGGTTATCGTTTCAATAAAATAAAATCCTTCCTTATTGGTTCACGGCACCGAGGGATCTAAAGTGCGAAAACATTTTGTTTTAATAATAATTCCTAACGAATGCCATAATAGGGAATTCCGGTAGAATAATTTCCTTCACTTTCAGTAAAGCATCGCATAGATCTTGTAAGAAGAAATAAAAAAAGGCGTATACCCCTGCAAAAGGCATTATCAAAGAGCTTCAGCTACCACTCTACGAAAATTAGAAGCTGGCGCCTGTCACTCAGCTAAAAAATCCTTAACTTCCTAGTCCAATCAATAAGGGGCAATTAAAAGAGAAAAATTAAGTGCTTAATTTTAAGACCAGTCTAAATGTAACATTTTTGGCAGCGATAATGGTAGCAGCTATTTTTTCGGAGGACCTTTAAGGCACTACTTCATAAGGACTTTCTAACATGATGGAGGGAACACGATGTTTGGCAGTACTACTACTCGTTGCTTAGAACCTATTGCAAAATGAATTTGCAAAGACCTTTTGTAAGCTTATGCTTCCTCTCGTCGAAGAAGTGATACCAGCTCCTGGGTTAAACAATACTATAACGACCTGAGGTAACCAAGACATTGGCCGCCCAAAATACCAGATTTCACCGTGTTTGAAAACCTACATCTGGGAAATTTTAAACCAAAGAATGAGCCGCGAATATTTCATCAATTCTGGAGAATACTTTAGAAGTTGGAGTGCCGCATGGAAAGCGACATTTTCGAGTTTCTTTAACATCTAAATACCATAAATTGCATCCTTTGGGTTTTTCTGCATGCAGTTGTCATTTTTAATTTGAATTTTATAATCATTTTTAGGCATTCACATAATAGGGAAGATGTAAAGTATTAAATAAAAAAAAAAAATGAAATTTTTTACCCTAAAAACTGGTACATACATATGTAAATACTTTTCAGCTTTTTATAAATATCGTTCCAGTTGCATATGATATGGCAACCACTGTACGTACAGCAGTAAGGTAATAAACGAATTCGTTTAAAAAATATGAAGACGCAGATTAATTCTGTGCGTTATGAACTTTATTACCATATACTGTGTCAAAAGAATTTGTACAATCAAATGAGATGCTGCCACTAAGATAGAAAACTTTAAGTATGTATGTACATTTATTGAAATGCACATACAGTATTGGCCAATACAATAGCACCCCCATTTCAAAGTCATATTGTTTGCCACTCATGTTTATTTATTTATTTTTAAGAAATTTCAATTAAAATACAGTTCAATCTCTCACAAAACTCACATAAACTCAAGTTTAAAACTTTTTAAAAGACCGCAAAAAAGTGCAACAAATTTTCACCCAAATTTCAAACGTTTTTCTCAGAAGCGGTACAATTTTTTTGAATACACAGTTTTATATTATAGCCCATTCAATTTTAGTCTAATAATGTGCAAGTTTCAAGTGGCTAAAAATTACCGTTGATTTTTTAGAATTTTTTTCGCCGAGGATGTTGTGGGTTTCTGCCATATAAAAATAAATTGTGTTTAGTCGTTATATGGAAGCAAATGAGAAAAAAAAAATTCTAAAAAATCAACGGTAATCTTTAGCGACTTGAAACTTGCACATTATTGGACTAAAATTGAATGCGCTATAAAACTGTGTACTGAAAAAAATTCTACCGCTTCTGAGAAAAAAGTTTGAAATTTGGGAGAAAATTTGTTGCGCTTTTTTGCGGTCTTTTAAAAAGTTTAAAACATGGGTTTATATGGGTTTTGTTAGAGAATGAACTGTATTTTAATTGAAAATTCTTAAAAACAAATAACTAAACATCAGTGGCAAACAATATCGCTTTGAAAAGGGGGGTGCTATAGATATGTCCAATACTGTATATATATATGTATAGATATATAAACATACGTGCGTTAAGGTGGTCCAAAAATTTTTTACCACCACACCCCAAATTTTATTTTTTTTTGAAATCGGTTAACATTTAACAGTGCCACCGCACAGTGGTTCAAACTGGAATCTAATGTTCATAATCTGCACCCTTCATTTTTCAACCAATTTGACTTATTCTATTTTTGGCTCGATTTTTGAATCAACGCGCACTCAGAGCCACTTAAAACTTGTTCTTTATTAATATAAAATTTCATGATATATTAAACTGCATGTCCAGAATTTTTCTAAGAACTGAAAAAAATAAAATTTTGTGATTTTTTTTAACAATTCAATTTTTTGTGATATTTTGTAGCTTCTTTGGAGAAACCCTACAATTGTTTTCAACAAGTTTTTACTATGAAACAGGATAATCGATTTCTGCACTTTGCACTAAACAATTTAATACAAGGAAATGAACATTCAAAAATTATGCTCAACAGGTCTCTTGCAAATTTTATAAGCCCTCAAAAAAAAAAAAAAATTGTGAAAAATGAACGCTGCAGTGAATTATGAAAAATAAATGCCAGTTTGGAAACACTGTGCGCTGGAGCTTTGAAGTTTTCCATTAATTTCATATGGGGAAAATATATTTTTTGGTAGAATTGCTATAAATTCGTTTAAAATACATAAATGTAAAAGTTTTATAGATGAATTTGCATCATAATTATATTGTTGAAAGATTTCTGAAGGGATATGTTTTTATTCGATTAAGGTGTCTATTTTAAACGGTTTTATAGCAATTCTACGAAAATAAATACATATGTATTCGCGACGCGAATGCGGGTTTCTTTATTTTCCATTTTCAAAACTTTTGGCAGCAAGAAACTTCTTAAAAGTAAATTTTTCTGTGTATTTTAGGAACACACTAATGTACAAACATACACTTGTGGTCAGCTGATTAAGTCAGGTGACATATTGACTAGTTTTGGCTATTTTTCTTTTGTTTGTTTAATACAACAACGTACAAATATTATGAAAATTCCACCAACTTTAAAATTTGCACACAAAAATTGTAAACTTCTATATTTTTATTTAAATGAAAAAATATTAAAAATCAACGCGACTTTAACGAACTAAAATTTAATGAGCTACAAAACTGCATACCCAAATGTTTCTTAAAATTCTGAATAAAAAGTTGAAAATTATCGGGTGGAAATGTTTTGTTAAATTTTCACAATTTGTGTACGAAGTTTGAAATGTGGATTAATGTGGCGCTGGTTAGGTAAAGTGCTACACTTTTATAAAAAAAATATAAACATTAAATAAACAAAAGAAAAATAGCCAAAACTAGGCAAAATATCACTTGACTTAATCAGCTGACCACAAGGGTACATGAATACGACTGCTTAATGCCAAGCCAAACGAATTTAATTGCAACTATGTACTACTTAATGACTTCTGGATTGTAGAAAATTTTATACTCTACTCGTAATACCTTAATTATCAGCTATGCGAACCAGTTTTTGATGAGCTAGTGAGTGATCTTAATAAAGCGTAGTTGAAGAATTACTTGAAACAAGTAATTTACCTAGTTGTTTTCTCCATAAAATAAATCGTAGCCATAAATGAAAACAATGTGACGTCAGACTGTAAATTAAATAATTTGAAAAGTGAGAACGAATGAAGAATATCTAGGTACGTAAGTAAAACTGCTTGTGAATTCCACACAAATGTACATACAAACACGCGCACAAATATATAAGTACAACAAATATGCTGTAAAAAAAAGCGACAATGCATACACTTTCCTACATTTTACACATTTCTACATATATATGTATGTATGTGGTATCCTCAACCCAGCATTAAACTTATAAAACACACACACACGCACGTGAATATTATCGTCTACAGTGAAAAGCTTTTGCTGTATACAACCTCCTTTCGCAAAGCCCTCGCAAGCTCATGCATACCCAGTAGCAAAATTTAGAGATAGTCTGCCAAAAGCATTCGTTTCACAAAACAGTTTCGGAACTGCATCTGATCCACTTTAAACGGATGCGAGCCAATTGGAACGTGCGTTTTAGTAGTTGGAGGTGTCGTCTAAGATTCTCGTATTGAGAATGCGAATGCTGATAAGATGAGAAGACCACCTGGTGTTGTGATTTCCCAACAGATTGTACAGAGCATGAAATACCGATTACTTTTTGCCTATAATTATTAATTTTTTGAGCACCAATTTCTCTACGGTTTATAAAAAGCAAAGATAAGATACTTACATATGTACTTTTGGAGCTTCCTAAGAGTACCGAAAAAAAGGTAAGCTTCCGAAAAGCCTCGAAAAAAAACCGAAAAGTTCCGAACATACGAAGAATCAAGAAAACCATTTTAGTTTACACAGTTTTTTTTTTTAATAAAATAAACTGTCCCTGGTCCCAAGATTTGCAGAGAAACATTGATTCAGGAACCAGTACCGATATTTTTCCGCCTGGCTCCCTATATAATTATTAACCAGTTTCATTTGCTGCTGGGTATTTATTCATTCTTTTTCACATTCTTTCACTTATATTTGCACGCGACTAACAGCAACCCTCTGATTCTCAACACGTTTATAAAAAATGCCGGTTAAGTAGCTCAGTCATTGCTGTTAGTGCTTTGTGCCTAAAACTAACAGTAAGGAAAACCGTCCAACCTTGCTAACTGCTTGGTTGATGTGCTTCTAGGCAGTAGAGTTGGGGCATTGCTCTTTTGCAGTGTTTTGGCTCTATGAAGCGCCAATTTTTGAGTGGGCACAGGTCGTCCCTTCGAACTCATGCGCTCACTACTTTTCGAGTCGTAGAGTTTGGGTGAAGCGATCTGCCCTATTAGTAATACAAACAAACATTTGTACTAGAGCTGTCAAACTATCGATAGTCAAGTCCATCGATGTTTTACGATAGTCTTAAGGGTGACTATCGATACTATCGATAGTATCGACCCATTTCATATGTTTTTCTAAATCCATTTATTTTTCGTTATCTTGTTTTTATAAATTTGTTTATTTTAGCGGCTCACGGTTGCATTTTAGTATTGAGAAATATTGCTAGAAATTCATTCGCCGTGTAAACAGTCAAGGAGCGAAAGACACTTTACATACATACATGCAAGGTGCCACTGCTCATGCAACTGCTTTCTGAAATTTCTCAATCTGACAGTCTTTTGAAATATACTGCATCGCCCGGTCTGACACGCTCTTAAGACGGCAATGTAACCTCTGCTATTCCCCCGCTTAAAATAAAAAATTGCGCTTTTAGAAATAATACGTTCATTCCTTATCTTTTTTGACTAAAATCTGAAAAGTGTCAAAATGTCAGAGCGTAAGCAAAATGCACTCACTAAAAGAGAATAACAGGAAAAAGTTAATGAACGCAAAATCCAAATTTTTAGTCCAAAGAATGGCAACAACAAAACTAACGTCAAACAAGAATAGAAATGTATGTACAAAACACATTCACTCAAGCACAAGCACAATATTGGCACTTGCTATATCAATTATTTTTTTGCTTCCTTCCAATTTCAATTAATTTTTTTACTTTTTACATTATTCTCACTTTTCGCGTATTATTTAATTTCCGTTAATTTAAATTCAGTTGAGTTTGACACTTTTCAAGATTTTGCCAGCAAAAATTCTTCTGACTAAATCTGACTACTTCGGACTGAAGAGAGTCATTCTCACTGAGTGTTGCTCTCTCATTTTTGCTGTTATTTTAGAGTTAAGGAACGCTTTTTGGACTAAATCTGACTACTTCGGACTTTTTCTGGCTATTTCTGGGAGATAAGGAACGCAACTAATGCCATGAACCAACTAAACTGATCACCCAGTGCGGCAACCGCGTATTTAAAATTGCATTTGAGAAAAAAATAATAGTTGATAACGTCATTTTTAATCGGTTGTTTCTCTCACACACATGGTTTCATTCCGTGGCGAAAAAATGACGTCACTGTGAAAAACATACTTTTCTCTCGCACAACGTCCTGGGTGATCTTTATTTTATTCGTTCGTTCATGAAATAATGCTGCAATGTTTTGTTGAACCAATACGTGCAAATGTCAAAAGCGCTAGGAAAGAGAATACGCTATCAATGAAACGATAGTGGCGATAGTACTAAAACTATCGATAGTTATTTCAAGTGACCAGACTATCGATACTATCGATAGTATCGTCGATAGTTTGACAGCTCTAATTTGTACAGATTTTGTTACCGGAATTTTCTATTTAAATAAAATTTTATAAATTATTGCATAAAAAAATTGTGAAACGTTAGTGCTACTTTTTCAGACAGTTGGTACTGGTACTAAAGGCTTTGACAAACTTAGTCATGGAGCGATACTCAGTTGAACAACCCGTAAAAGTGATCCAAACGTTTTATTGAAAATGTACGTTCTGCAAGAAGTGCATTACATAAAGAGTGATGAAGCACATTTTTTCACCTAGTCCTCTTTCAGACGAGTCAAGTCTTGAAAGCAATTTTTTTCGCATTCTCTTTTGTGTTTTCTATTTGCTTCCACACGAGTCAACTTTAATTCAATTCAAGTCCTGAATTCTGAAAAAACGTCATTTCCTACCCAAAAACGTCTTTTTCAATTTAATGTACAAAAAATTGTTCTTATTAAACTTTTATTGTATACGAAGGTGCATATCGAGCCCTAACCGCCAAAATAACGTAAGCGACATTTTTTTCAAAATTTTCTTTTTGATGCAGAGATATTCCTAGATCATTTAGATGCATTTCTGCATCAAAAAGAAAATTTTGTCGCTTACTTTATTTTGGCGGTTAGGGCTCGATATGTACGTAATGTATATTAAAATTTCATTTCGACAGAGCACATTTAAAATTCATTGTAAACTGGTCGTTAATATAAAAGTCATTTTATACATACACTTGTGATCAGCTGATTAAGGCACTCCGCACATTAAGCTCCTAATCATAGTAGTGTAATCGTTTCGGCATACTAAAGTATAAAGCTTTTACGCGGAACACATGTATTTCAATGAAGCTCTGTACATTACGATTCAAAATTGTGTTTTCGCCTAATCATAAAAGCTTCATGAATCGAAGCGCCCAACATTGTTAGGCGCTTGCAGTTTTGAAATCATCATTGGTTTACTTTTTTGTGTTGGAAACAAAATTTATTTGTCAATTCAATAGAAAATAATTGAAAATGAATGATTTCGTAGTAAAATTCGTGCAAATTGTATTAAACCACAAGCGTTTATGCAATATTTCGGAGCAGAAATATTTGCGGAAGTGCGTGGTTGCGAAAGAATGGCCAGAAAATTTGTTATGTGTAGAAAGTGTTTATTAGCTGGTGACTTATGCACGGCGTGTAAGTGTACAGAAGTCGAGTCGTCATGCATTCGTTTCAGCATGACGAAACGATTACTCTACTTTGATTAGGCGCATAATGTGCCGAGTGCCTAAGTCATCAATATTTTGATCGATTTTGGCTGTTTCTCTTTCGTTTATTTAATGTTTATTATTTTTCCATAAAAGCCAAGCTCACTAACACACAAAATATAAATCCACAAAAATTGTTCAAAAATTATAAACAATCTGCAAATTTTCAGCTAGATTTTCAACTTTTCATTTTTTATTTCAGGGCAATAATGTGCAAGTTTAAAGGGGCTAAATAGTCGCGTTGATTTTAAAATTTTGTTTTCTTGTAGACATTTTTCGAAAATGCTAAATTAGCAATAGGTCCATTCAATATCAAAAAATTTTTACGAATTGTTGCTAGTACTTGCAAGTTTTTATTGGGAATGCATTCAATAACCCAAAATATTTGCAAGAGGAAGCGAATTCGAGAGCGTAACAACCCGAGAGAGCTGCAAATTCTTGCAAGTGAAAATTTTACTAGCAGGAATTTGCAGGAGTCAAAAAGAGTATGATTTGATGAAACATAATTAGTGAAATGAAGATATGGATGAAAAATTTAACCTATTGTATATTTTTTTATTTTTATGACGATGGGAACTATTCCCAATTAAAAAGAAAATTGCGCGCCAAAACTTAACCGTCAGAAAGTGTCAAAATGGCTTAAGTTGCAAGTTTTTACTAGTTTTGCGTTCAATAACTTTTTCTGAAAATTTTCTCTTGCTCTCAATTTTACTCTATATTTTTCTTTTACGCTCTCGCTTCAAGTACTTACTGGAAAAGTTATTGAACTGACCTAATATTTGAGTCTTTTTTGTGTTCATTACATTTTCAATGAAGTCTTAAAAAAGTTTTTCTGACGTTTTATGCTGCACAGCTTTTTTGATGCTTTTGCGAGCGTGCCTGCTGCAATAGATCGGCTTCTCCTGAATTGGCTTTTAATTTGCAATTGCAAACATTTCAACAAGCCTCGTAACCTCAAGTGTTTAAACAACCAGCCTTTGAACACGGGATCCTTAGTCCAAGAATCTAGAAAACATCTTTTGAAGCAGCTGCAGCAAAACACAAAGATTGTAAAGATTTATTAAGAAAATAATTCAAAATAAGTTCTACTTATAAGATTTAGTAACAAAGAAAAATTACTGGAAAGTTAAAAAACGTCATTTTTTACACAAAAAACGTCCAAACATCAACAGGGTAAAAAAAACGTCCAAATGACGTTAAAAACATCAACCTGGCAACGCTGGTCCTTGGTCTTTAAATGGGAAGCAACGAAAAGATCAAAAGAGACAAGAAAACTTGAAACGAATTGACGGTACGGAGGTATCTGTACTCTTCCCCTCTCTTCTCACCTCCTTCGCCCACGAATGAGCAGACTTGAAAGCAAGACTTGATGTGTCTGAAAGGGGACCTAATCGGATACGCTAACAAGCAAAATGTCGCATTTGAGGCACTAAAAATCCAGATGTCATTCAAGAAAAAAAACTATGCACCCACAAGGAGTCACGAGTATGGTCGACGGTTCCAGAGCTGATGAACGAAATCATACGCGTAGTGAATGATATACAGCCCGAATTATGCGAAAAAATCATTGACAATTCAATCAAATGAATTAATTGGCTGCGGAATTCCATCTAGTTACATGCCGCCATGCCGCGAGATTTGGCTGATTACACATTGAATCAATTCTCATTTGGAGAATTTTTGCGACAAAAATTTAGCGTAGCGAATGTCAGAATTCCACTGCAGGTAAAAGTCACACTGAACACTTTTGAAACGAAATTAAACGAAAACCTGCTCAACATTAACCCAAGACAAAAATGACAGAAAAAATTTCTGAAAAAGATGACGGGGAACGAAATAGAGAATACGTACAATGTCATAATTCGTCAAGTCCTGACGAAAATAAAGCCGTTATTTCAACTAAAGGTTGATGGACTCCTTACAAGTAGAGCTCTTGTTAAAACTCAACGATCTTTCTATTCGGTTAGTCGACTATGTAGTAGAATAGTTTTTCACCTTAAAATTATTGTTTTTGGAAAACAACTAAATAGTCCAAAAATCAAACAAGAAGGGTTAGGCATTCATATTTTCCTCAACATTTTCTTTTTCATTTATTTGATATGATTTTATACATACAGTCAGCGCCAAAAATATGCAACCCTGAGGTTTTGACGTTTTTTTTTTTATATTTTCCATACCCAATTTTTCGTATTAAAAATATATATATAGTTCATTCAACAGCAAAAACCACAAGAATCATTATTTTTAATTTCATACAGAACTCGGGAATACAATGTACTCTATTACAAAATAAAATAGAATTAAATAAAATTAAAGAAAATAAAAAAATCAAACACGGCCAGCGGAAAAAACAGCTAAATGTAGAAAATGCCCCCAAACTAAATTACTAAGAAAATTTAGTAAAAAAACACCATACAATCTACCA